GAATTCCAAAGTTCATCATCTTTTTGGTAGTACAAAACGTCAGGTTGATTTCAATATTGCAACTTTTTTAATGCTTGTGAAAAAAATTGTAATACAAATTTTATGTACCCCCTTTAAGGGCCGTATCTTAACAAGGGATGCTCCAATGAAATTTCTTTATATGAAATATCCTATCTTTTTGTCGATGAGGAATCACCTCCTTAAATGTTTTACACTTATTCAGTTACACCCTGTATAACAAAGCCCAATAACTACATACAAAGCAAGAAAAGGACAAAAATAGTTAGTCATATCTTTTTCAAATATGAGGATAATCAAAATTATATGTATGCATGGCCATTTTTTACGGAAACGCCATCTATTGGATAGAAAGAGGGCTCAAACCACAAAGAGAATGATAGAATTGAGTAGGTATACTATACTATATACTAGTTACTAGTTTATTCAATACTTTACATAAAATACATGTGCACTTACGCCCAACATGTTCCCTTATCACCTAAAATGGTGAGTTCGAGCGGAATTTTAGTATTCGTCCACAGAGTAGAAACTGTGTTTATGTAAGAATTCTTTCAAGAAGTTTCTGAAGAGAAACATGTAAGAGTTTTTGATATGCTCAGGTAAAACACTATGTATCAAATATTCAATGAATATTCACAATTCTTGTTGAAGGAGGTATCATGTGGCTAGAAAGATAGGTAGTTTGGTTTTTCATGAATAGGATCTTGTGGATCATGATCCTATCATCTAAATTACTCAAAACCGAGACTTGCAAAGTAGCTGCTTTGTTTAGCCAAGCATCAACATTCTCTACAGATTTCATCACAAGCCAATTAGATGAATCACGAATGATGTGTTTTGGGCCATGTCCAGGAAAATATGACAGAAACAAGAATAATTTAGAAGGGATCGAAGAAAGGCAGTTCCAGAGCAACAGAAGAAAATTTTTTATTCGAGTTGAAAATACGATACAAATTCAAACTTGAATTCAACTATTTTGTTTTTACAGGATTCTTCCAAATAATGGTAGTTCTCTTATCAACCCCTTTTTCAATACAACGACCTCCCCAGACATCCAGATGAAGATACTAGACCGAAGTACCGGAGGAGACGTGAGTGACTCCCATATAGGACAAGAACTACAGCTTCGCATTGAACTGAAATCACCAGATAGTATGTATTCACGAACCAAAAACTCATTGAGAAAATCCCATTTTGATAATATACTGCATTTTCAAATAGAGAAAAAATAAATTATTCAGTTAAGAATCTGTAGCGAATTTTGGTTAATTTGGTCAACTCGAAGAAAATAAAGAATTAATAGGTACTGCGCATTCCTCAAAATAAATTCAACTTTGTTCACAATCTCGCCACCTAGCCACGATAATATAATCTTTTTGTGACTACGGAACAATAAATTTCAAGGCACATCAATGTGGGCCTCGACATCGGCGAAGTCGTCAGAGGGCGCTAGAGAGCGACAGGTTAATACGGCAGTTTAACATTTAAACAGCTATTAAAGTGACTGAGAGTTGGATTTTCGATTTTGGCTTATTTTAAAAATTTTAACTTTGTTATGCGAAGTTTTGGCATATACATTGGGTGTTGATAACATTCCCTACGTAAGTAGCTTAGATAAATATAATATTCAATTATTGAAATATAAAAATATGATTAGCTAAAAAAGAAATAAATTCGTGAAATCACATAAAGAATTATATTCACAACCAATATTGTTAGGTTACATGAAAATTTATTTCCGATTAGTCTAACAAGTCAGTACTTGTCACATTACCGCTTAATACCTTCCACATAAATATCGCTGGATTTCGTAACTCCCCGTCGCATAATTTAAATAAATTCAGTTACTCCATACGTAAATAACTACAGAGCTACGAGAACTGACCTTACTTCCCTCAGCATCCGCTCGGCTCAGTGAGAAATTGCCTTGTCGGAAAATTTCGAAAAAATGTCTATTTCGACAGAAAATGAATGATCTTTATATTGATGACTGGTCTGATTTAATTAATCCAAAGCAAAATCAAGTGTCGACTTAAATAAACACTCTAATTTATTTATTTCGTAGATCTCGACCTTTGGGCTAGCCACCTCATAGCCATGACTGAAAAAAATGACCAATCGATTTTCCTACTTGATGACTACGGATGTCCCACCAGTTTGAATATTTTTCCTGGATTAGACAAAATCGTAACAAACACATCTAAGGAGTTGGTAGCAAACTTTCAAGCGTTCAAATTTGCAAACTCCCCAGTTGTTAGGTTCAGCGTGATCATACAATTCTGCGCTGTCGAATGTCCACCTGTAAGCAAATTTGTAGCATTGAAGCATGAAATTATCATTCTGGTCGTAAAACTCAAGGCCTCCTTCATAAAGGTCCGATGATAAGTTCTGGCGATCAGTCCTAGCTATTGTTCTGATTGTATGTACGTTTTGTCCACATTCATCTTATTCAGGATTGAGTCGTTCCCGGCAAAAGTTATTCACTGTATCTTCCTCACATATTTTGATCGAACAATGAAGGGGAATAACTTTTGGCGCGAATGATTGATCTGAAATAAGATTATGATAACAAAGCGCAAATTTTGTACGAGTTCACATGTTCTCGTATCATTAGTCTGCCGTAAAGAAATGCTAATCATCAATCCTTTGTGAAACGGGCCTAACGGAAAAAGCCAAGATTTGTTTTTGTTTATTTTTTCAGATCCAATGTGGAAATAATGTGGTATCGTACGGTCGAAAGAAACGAGAAGTAGTGTCTACGGAAATTCATACAATTAATGGCACATCAGTAGTTAAATTGAATCGAGCAGAATTTCAAGAGCGGTCTAGTGTAATGTATGAAATGCCGTTGGAATACATTATGCTTGTTAAAGACTCAAAGTATAGCTCTGAAAAGCTAGTTGTTGGAGAAAATAGCAGGATTTTAGTAGCTGGATATGGTGAATAGTTGCAATTCTTGAAGCAAATTTTGCCAATAACGACTTCAATCAGTCATATATACTTATCTAAATAAAACTTATTTGCAGATCGAAATTTGATATTTTTGATAACATTCTAAAAAACATTTTTTATTACAATATATCTAGAAACCGGGAAAGTATATAGGCTGAAAGTTGCTCTTTAATTGATCTGTAAGGGTTTATTTATTGTGAATTTCTATTTTTTCAAGAATTGTGAATGTAATGTTTTGCCGAATGTTATACCAGATTTTCAAGAATTTGCATATTTTCAGATTATATCAACAATGAAGTGTGCATGGATTATTCTTTAGTTATTGGCTTGATAATACTTTGGCTGCTGATTCAAGTTTTCTTCATAATCGGTTGTATAGTACTTGTGAAGAGATACAAAAGATATTATCAACATGAGTGCACACGACAGTCTTTAGAAGAACTCCATAAAAATTTTGGAATAGGCTTCAGCAACTTGGAGAACCGGAGAGTACATTGGGCTGACAGTGACAATATTTTATGACATGAATGTGATTCAAAAATGTAAATGAAACCAAAGATTTGTTGTTAATATATGGCTATACACCCGTTCATTAATTTCTTTTAAAATAATTGATTACTTTTGATCGGATGATCACCAGTTGGTTGGTGGTCTTGCTGACCTAACCCTGCTAGAGGAATCAAGCAAGTTTCAACTTTAGAGTGAATGGCAACTGGTTGACTGAAAAATCAATTTTAACCTATATAACCTACTTATGAAACCAATTTCCCGCCGCGTCTGTCTTAATGCGATGAACTCAAAAACTACCGAATGGTTTTCATAAATACAGAGTTATTCAAGAGAAAATTTTATGTTTACAATTCACAAATGTTTCGTCTGAATTGGTTGAAATTCGACAAAATTACGCCGCCTAGTTCTTCTATTATATGTCCACAGAAAAGTCGGCGATGGCATATATGTCTTTCTTTGAAGGATAGCTTCCTATGCCCATTTTAATATTCAAAAAAATATTGTCAACAATACTGCCTTAATGAAACTGACTTTTCATGTAGATCAGTTAAATTTAGAATAACCCAAACAAGCCACAATGCGAATATACAGGGAGTCTGTACTCTGAGTAATATGGATCGTCATCAACTGCCAAGTTCCTACAGGGTATCTGGATATGATGACGAATACTTTGAAAACCAGTGTGTGAATCAAGATCGTCAAAATATCAGTGAGTATTATCATCTTTTCAAACAGAAAACAAAATAGTTTAGTTTTTTCGACTGGCGTCCCCATACGAACGATAAAACTTCTTCAAGCTAAGTGTTAACGAGGTTTCACGTTTTCGCGTGCGATTCTAGCAGATAAAGAACCTATTAATTGAGAAAATGGTACATTTGAGGAAGCAAATTTGAAGATTAATTATTTATCTAAATTATCATAAACTCATTCATCATACTTTTGCATCAATTTGCTCTACTCTCAGTATATCTTAAATGCTTTGGACTACGAACATATTCAGAATGACATTACATCTTTTACTGAATGGTGTGTAGACAATGATATGGACGTGAATGTGTCTAAATGCAAAAGTATGTCTAAAGACTCAAAGTATAGCTCTGAAAAGCTAGTTGTTGGAGAAAACAGCAGGATTTTAGTAGCTGGATATGGTGAATAGTTGCAATTCTTGAAGCAAATTTTGCCAATAACGACTTCAATCAGTCATATATACTTATCTAAATAAAACTTATTTGCAGATCGAAATTTGATATTTTTGATAACATTCTAAAAAACATTTTTTATTACAATATATCTAGAAACCGGGAAAGTATATAGGCTGAAAGTTGCTCTTTAATTGATCTGTAAGGGTTTATTTATTGTGAATTTCTATTTTTTCAAGAATTGTGAATGTAATGTTTTGCCGAATGTTATACCAGATTTTCAAGAATTTGCATATTTTCAGATTATATCAACAATGAAGTGTGCATGGATTATTCTTTAGTTATTGGCTTGATAATACTTTGGCTGCTGATTCAAGTTTTCTTCATAATCGGTTGTATAGTACTTGTGAAGAGATACAAAAGATATTATCAACATGAGTGCACACGACAGTCTTTAGAAGAACTCCATAAAAATTTTGGAATAGGCTTCAGCAACTTGGAGAACCGGAGAGTACATTGGGCTGACAGTGACAATATTTTATGACATGAATGTGATTCAAAAATGTAAATGAAACCAAAGATTTGTTGTTAATATATGGCTATACACCCGTTCATTAATTTCTTTTAAAATAATTGATTACTTTTGATCGGATGATCACCAGTTGGTTGGTGGTCTTGCTGACCTAACCCTGCTAGAGGAATCAAGCAAGTTTCAACTTTAGAGTGAATGGCAACTGGTTGACTGAAAAATCAATTTTAACCTATATAACCTACTTATGAAACCAATTTCCCGCCGCGTCTGTCTTAATGCGATGAACTCAAAAACTACCGAATGGTTTTCATAAATACAGAGTTATTCAAGAGAAAATTTTATGTTTACAATTCACAAATGTTTCGTCTGAATTGGTTGAAATTCGACAAAATTACGCCGCCTAGTTCTTCTATTATATGTCCACAGAAAAGTCGGCGATGGCATATATGTCTTTCTTTGAAGGATAGCTTCCTATGCCCATTTTAATATTCAAAAAAAAGGGTCACGTATAATGTCATAATTGGAAAGCTATTTGGCGATACGATTTATTGATACTTATCAAATTGAATATGTTAGCATTGTCTAAGGAACGTGTTACCTACCTTCAGAATTTCATGAAAACAATTTAAAAATCTTACAACTTTTGATTACGAAAACATGTTATCAGTTTTGCAATGCTTTCTTGAACGGAATGATATGCATTATACCAGGGGAGTCCAAAAGGGGATTTTGGGAGGGATTTTCTGAGTTACTTGAGCACGACAAATGAACATAGGAAGGATACCTTGCATCCTGTTGAAACCCTCCACCAAATATAAGTCCTCAATATAGAGTCGGGCAAGTAGGGCAGTTCCTCAGATTTATAAAAAAAACGCTCATCAGAAATATTCAAGTGCGTCAGATTAAGATATGGTGGCTTAATTTCTAGGCAGAAAGAATGCATTTATCAAAATCTGACGATTTGATCGTGACGTAGGGGAGTAGAGGGGTCGCCTAGATGCAAAATAAACGTCTCAACATTCTCGAGCGTGTTTGATTTTTTTTATTTCAGAGGAAATAATGTAAAGTATGCATTACCTCAGTTGCAAGCTCTAATCTACTAAACGATGGACTGTTGGTTAAATGTCACAGTGAAGCTGAAAAACTTCCCTTTGGTTCAAGTGATGAGTAACTGACTTTGCCTGAACACTGATAAGTGATATATTTGGGGGGTAACTAATGTCCAGCACACATTGTGCTGGAGATCACATTACTGAGAATATCCAGCCTATGTGAGACAGGTAACACGTAGCTTATATGAAACAGATCTAGAATATGAATCTGTGATGAAATATAGGGAATTTCATTCAAACTAATGAGGTTGAACTTACAAATCCTGTATAACCAGAAGTGATTCAGATTTCAAACAATTTTTTGCTGAATTTCCTCCAATACCATTATCATTAATACTTTTATACCAGTTCGTGGAGTGAACCTGTATAATATTAATGTTAGTTATCAAAAAAGGTTTACCTAGGATTGAAGATACCAAAACTTTTAACAAATTCAATAATCAATAAATATTTCAACAATGATGTCTAGATATCATTATTCTCACTGTGAGCTTCTGATTAAGTTCATTTTGCCGCACATCAAAATTGCAAACAATTTATTATAATGGGTGTTTCGCCAATAAGTTTGCAATACTGAAATATAACACAGGGTAGATCCATGCACCAATCTCAAGTCACACGTAGCTGAATCATTAATTTTCAGTGACAACATTCTTGCAAGATCAGTTCATCATTATATTATAGACATATACTTACTCAAAATATCTATGAGTAGGAGTTGTAGGTTTTTGATAGTAAGAAAATTTAAAACATGGATTCTTTTGAATCATGTCTTAAGACTGGTACATGAATCTACCCGCACACTAAAAGTATTACATCTTTTCTCGATTCATAAACTTATGTAACACTGCTAGGATTCACTTGTTCTCTTTTCAATTCTTTTGTAAGGTCAATTTGTTGCTGTAAGGTGTAAAGATTTTCAGCTTTACGTCTCTGTCGTCTTTCTACGTCTTTCAATACTCCAGCATGTAATTGTTTTCTGGAAAAACAAGAGCGATTGCAATGCATTTTTAAACATTAGGCTCTCACCTATCCAATTGTTGTTTATAATGGACATATCCAATTATGCCAATGGAGAAAGTACATGCAGCAGCTAATACTATTTTCGATTGAAGAGACATTGGAAAATGACCAGGTTTTACGATTATCATGAAAAACTTTCAAAACTTTAAACAATTTCTAACCTAAAATTATATTTGAAATGATATTCAATAAGTGACGTCAATCATGTCTATGTGTATGAACGCTAAGAAACAGAATAGCTAATAGGTCACAACCACAACAAAGTGCACCTTGAATAAGGAACGTATGAGGTGTTTTCTGGTATTTAATCGTATTCGAGCGTATATTCAAAAAAGACTCGTATTGACATCATTAATAATAACATTCGCCAGAATGGAATATATTTTTTATTACTCTGAGAAATGGAATGATTCAATTTGTGTCAGATGTCAAATTCAATAATAAAAACAAACCTTTCAATTTTCTCTAATCTCAATTAGAATCGGATTTGTGCATACAACTTTTTGCATTAATATTAAAAATGTAGCTGCATTTTCAAACCAGTGTACCAGAATTCTTTTTTCTATTCAAAATTTGGACCAACAAGTAGCTATTTTGACAACTGACGGAACGTAACGTCCTCAGAGTAACAAAAGACAATAGAGAGGCCTTTTCCATCCTTACATTGAAGACATCATAACTTTGTTTGCTTACGAGAAGTAAGTTGGNTTTGAGAATAAATCACAAATTTCTTCATCTGATAATATGAAGTAAAGTTCATTACTTTTGAAAATAACATTTATTATTGTTATGAATTAGTTCATATGAAATAATTTAATTTCAACCCAGTTAACCACGCGCTTTATTATAAAGTCATACATAAATAAAAATCTAGTAGGTGGTAGAAAAACTGGCCTCATTTCCATAATCATTAATAATAAGTCAGATTTCGTGTAGGAACTATTTGAACAGAATACATTTTCACCTGAAATGATTCATTTTATAAATATATAATATCCCTCCAATTATCAACTGAACCAACCGCCACTGTTTTATGGTCCAAATTACTTCAAATGTAAACAATCTCTCCATAACCTCTCATTACCCGCCACCCCCCTCTCACATAAGTTGTACAGAAAAGGATAGTACGATACCCGATTCAAAATACATGTATTTATGTATACGTGTATATGGTATAGGCACGTATAGGCATGGCAATGGACACTCTGAGGAGTAATAAAAAGAAAAACGTTAAATTCCGTCTCAAAACATCACGCTAGTTTTGAATCATTTCAAACCAGAGTTGATGTGACGTCATCGGTTCAACGTCAAAATGAATGTATTTGAATCACAGACGAATATGTTTTGAATACATGAGCGCCAGAGAACGCCTATGATTTCTCAAATAATGAAACGTACTTCCTGTCTCACTATTGGCCAATCTATATATAATGTGGATAGGAGATTTCTGTTCTCACTAATGTTTGGTGTTCCAGGTTAAGTCGTTAACGCCAGAAATTATTCGCCGTTCTCTTCTCGATATATTTCGATCAAGAAGATGAAGCAAAAAACTTTAGGCAGGATGGACATATCTGGAATAGACTAATGCAAACGAAATGCACCCAATATCACGAGAGAGAATCTACAGATGTAACATTACTTGTAAATATTTCCATTCCAATATTCGTATAAAATAAATTTTGTTCACAATGCATTCGAACTGACATCGTTAGTAATTCCAGATTCTTATAGATTCACGAAAGTTATTCACAGAAATCGTTTAACTTTCATGAATTTGCATACATAACCTTAAATAATATTTTGTCTCGGAGTGATCACAATTCACATATACCTCTTAACTTACATCATCACGTTGTTGAATAAGCAACGTTGTGCAATAAGCAAGTTCTTTAAAAAGCGGCCCACGTACATGAAATCGGGTAAACCATATTGGTCGACACATTTGCATGAAAATCCTACATGTATGAGTTGCTACACCATTATATAAGCAGGGTTACAAAAACGCAAAACGCAACACTGTTTAGTGAAAATCTCACGATGAAATGTTTCATAAATTCGTTATGGAGTTTCATCAAGTATCGACCTATTCCATCACATATCAGATAATAATCCATTTAGAATATATGTACCCTTATGTCTCCTATGTTGGTCTTATTGAAATCAGTATTGTTCATTTTGCAGATTGTATGTTTTTATCGTCCATATCAATGAGAAATATGTTTGAGAAATATATTTCTGTATCTATGTGTATATGTCATCAATGTTAGTTATCTATAAACTTATCATAAGCAGTTTGCTTGGAGTACTGTTCTCCCTTTCTATTTTGTAAGGCCATTGCTGCCAGCGAGAACAAATCAGTTAGATATCGAACACAGTTTCTTGAAAACTGTTGAACCAAACGTCAAAATACTAACCACAAACCACTTACTCTATAGACGCTTCACGGAAATGGTCAGAGATGCTTTTGTAGTTCGTTGTGACAACCTGTAGAGGTCGCAGCAATAATTTGTCAAATTATAAGCATGTGTAGTTAACACCAATGCTGTCAACAATTTATACTGTTCTCTGCAAAAAATATCAGTTGGGTGTTAGGGTAATTGATCTCTAGGAAAAGTTTCAATGGTTGAGCTGTTACGTTTGAATTCCCTGCTTTTTGTTTATTTTCGATTTCAAGTTATACGGGGGGCTGAAAATCGTTGCCAGCTGACAGCATTGGCGTCAACTACGCATGCTCATAATTTGACAAATTATTGCTGTGACCTCTACAGGTGGTCACAACGAACTACCAACTCCGACCATTAACATTTTCGTGAAGCCTCTATAGAGTAAGTGACTTGTAATGTGGAATATTTGAAATTTGAACAAGTGATTACCCTTTCATGTTGTCTTTAGAAAAACCAAAATACCATTTTGAACCTAATCTAATCTATTGCAATTGGAGAGTAAAGAAATTTTACGTACCTACATGTTCACCCTATTTTATTATTTTTATCTGTTAAAAAATAATTAAAAGTTTTAATGATTTTGGTACTTTTCAACACTTAGACAGTTCCTGCCATACATGTATAATTTAGATAATATAGACAATTAACTATATATTGGTTGAAATAAGTTTATTTGGACAAATATGAAGAAAGTCATATAGAAAACCTAATAAACCTAACGTAAACCACGAAAACACAGTAAGGCCACAAAAATCAAGATTATTTTTCACAATTCAGTTACAAGAGTGAATTTACGGATACAAGTGTGAATTTACAGTTACAAGTGTGAATTCACACTTACACTTGTAAATTGAAAAACATTCACCTGTAACTGTGAATTCGCACTTGAAAGTTCACATCTGTAAGTGTAAACTTTTCTATTTTGGGGAACTAGAATATTCTCTTTTCGGATCGAGAATATCAGTGGCTGTTCGAAAAATTTACCAGAAACTAGAATTGTCGAATTTGGATTTTTGGCTGTATAGCCTCTATTTTGAATGATATGAAAAAGGCAAAGGAACTTTCAATACTGTTCCACATTTATTATAATCTGATATAAACTAATTTGCATTCGACATTTCCTTCGTTAGATTTCATCATGAACTATTTTTTTTCAAATTTGTTATTACAGTTCTATATTTTATTTAAAAAAATTCATTTTCTTCTACGAAGGTATACGGTCATTTTCATCAGTACTTAAGGGTGGTGGAATATTACATGCATGCTATCAGTATGGAATTTGGGATAGGCAAAAGTGCAACAGTCCATCTGATACAGAGATCATGGGAAGGATGTACATCTCGTAGACGGAAGCATTCTTCACCATCTGGATGCCTGAGAGACTTTTATATGATAAATGAAATCTGCTTCAATCCTGTTCAAATATTTGGCACATAGTTTAGGAGATAAAAAGTTATTTCTTTGTAAACCAATATTCTGGGAGTTGTGGTTGTTTAATGTTAGCTCTTTCTTCTGGTTTCTTTATCTTCACCTTGTAATGAAAGCTGGCCAGCTAGACTCTGTAACTTTGAATTTGTGATAAATGTAGCCAGCTTAATTTTTTCAATCACCAATCGTCTCGTAAAAGTAACCAAATAATTTACTTCGGGAAGTAGATAATTGAAGGTTGTAAAATTGGACTTGTACGACAGAATTAAGACAATGTGCTCAAAATAAATAATTTACTTTTCACATCTGAAGAGTAATAAAATATTTAGTGATATATAATAAATATCTGCATATTTTTTCAATTAAGTAAATATATAATGTATTAATAGGTGTGTGAATAAAAACATTTCATTGAAGTAAAATTTATCACAACCTAGTTTGTCGAAGACTTTCTGGTGGTTAATATAAAAGTTTTGAAAATAGTTGTGAACAATGTGATCTATTTTACTTCTTAATAATGAAATACCAATCATATCAACTCATGTATGACCAGTAGGACTGTAATTATATTTACTGGAACAAATGATAGCCTTCCAATTGTTGAGAAATCCCCGATTATTTTGTCTCTTGGCAGTCAACCCAAGACACAATTTTGTTGTGAAATGAAAACGTGTCCATTCTTTCAATGTTATACCCAATGACACTAATACTAGTTGTTGCAGCAGAAGGACCAACAGTAAACAGGCTAAAATAAGACTATACACAGCAGCTACAAAAGAAAGGCCCAATCTGAAAAGAAATTATGATCATTGTTTAGACAAAAAGGATCTGAAAGGAAAGTTTTTCCAAAGATATTATTTTAAACTGACATATTCATTCATCTAGAGGGACTCTGCTACTTACTCAAATAGTATATATACCTCTGAACAATCATCTGGTAACAATATTGTTTTGTACACTTTGAATGGATGGCAAACAGAAGTCAACGTCAAGTTAGAACTATAAAGTAATGCAACAACAGCAAAAAATAGTGCAGATATGAAAAGACATTGATTGTGTTTCCCAACACAACAGTCAAACCTGAAAACAACAAACCATTTCAGCTCAAAAGTAATTCAAAAAAATTTGTGAAGTTGTCCACATCTACAAAGGACAGCGAAAGAAAAATATTAAATTCCTTTTCTCTTTCAATTTGCTCATTGATTGGCTTAGTGAAATAATTGAAATGTTTCAGTTTTCCAAAGGTGAAAATATTTTGAAAGTTCGATATTGAAAAATTGACTTTGAACTCCTACATGAGTGAAATATGTTCATTTTCTTGATCAATTGAACAAGATGAAATTTGCCTCCGAGTTCTCCAGGCCGTCCAAGGAAGAGGAAATGGGATGAAAAAAATGATATCTTTAGAGGTTGCATTTGTGCATCTACAAGACTGATATATGTTCTTTCTGCCGATCAGGCAGAAGTTGAAGTTCCGAGAGGAACTTCAACTACAGGAGTGAAAATTAAAAAAATATATATCATGGAATTTCTAAAACATATTTCACAAAACTAATCAACACGCATTTCTATTGAAAGACGGTGGGCGTATGAAGATGCTGAAAAAATAAAAATTTATTACTTTTCACTCAGTGTCCTTTGTAGATGTGAATAACTTGATACCCGTTAAAAAAATTAATACCTAGGTAATTATTGGTTTTAATGGATCTCGCTAGTTTTTTTCAATGAACTTACTTTTTTCTTTCATAAATCCGAAATAAAAACTTGCTCCTCTGATCTACTTTCAAAAGTGAAAACTATCAAAAATCAACTAACTACCCATTTCAGGAACTCACTTATGGTAAAACTTTTAAAATTATATTTCAAATAATTCACAAAATAACCTTTTTTTGGAATCATGTTTTGAATGATATCTTTACTACACAGGAGTTTTTGTTGTTATTCGTTGGCAATATCAACAGAAGGCAAAGTCAAGAACTGTGATATTTAAAGGTTTTACTCAGCTTTGCCTTAGAAGACAAAAAAAAGTTGACTTTTTTATGTTTACTTTCATTTGATAATTACACTTTCGCAACACAAGTTCATACATTGTATTAGTTGTATCAAATAGGAAATATTAATTTAATCAAAACTGAATCGATAAAACTAAGTGTTGAATTATTTGTTGAATGAACTTGTTTTTTTGGTTTTGGTTAGTTCGTACATTAAGGTCCCTTGATTGTATTAAGCTTGCCATTCCCCCAATTGCCCCTGATTGGGAAGTAACAGCCAATAACTATATGATTAAGATCTAAAACAATGTGTATCATTTCAGCACATGTTTGTTTTGTTTATTCCCACAGAAACATACAATTAGTTGATTCAGCCTTCTTACAAATACCCTACACTTGATAAACTACAACTAAAACTAGCAATTGTGAATTATACATTTTAAATGACAAAAAAAGGTTTTAGACTTTCGTTACCATGATTTTCAGAAATAGTCAATTTTCTACTTCTGAGTGGTAATATCTTCAAATGTAGACTAAAGCACCAAGTTTTCGTTTTAGATTTGTGATCACTCAAATAAAAATACGTGAGTTCAATGAAAAATTTCTTAAAAACTACCATGAGCCATTAACTGTAAAGAATAATTGCCTATACCTACCATACACAATGATGGTCTTTGTCAGGAATTTTCTTCTGACAAATTGAACAGTTATGTAGTCTATTATTTTTCCCAATGAATCCAATTTCAGCTTCACTATCTCCTACTTGGCATAAATTTTTTGTTCGAGATTTCATCAGATACAAGCAAAAAATGAAACCAAATATAAAAATACTTAGAGCAATGTTTTCCTCCAGGAGTATCTCTAAGAAAGGTATCACAATAAACTCAAATATTATATACAATATAACTATTGAAGTCAAAGTCCACATAAAAAAGAATTTAGTCCTCGGAATTGCTTTTATAAGAAAGTGAGAAATGAACCCTAAGAATATTGCCACCGTAGTGAAAGAAAAAATAGTCCACCACAGGCTCATTGATGCTATAAGTAACATTAACGGTAATATAAATACAGGCATGACTGCATCAAAAGCTACTTGCTTAGCACCTCCCTTCCAAGGTATTCTCAGTCTATCTTGCATTGTGATTATAATACCCTTCTTGGTTTTATGTGAAATGGCATGGGAAGTTATTATACTGGAAATAATATATACATAAATTACCAATATTTCTAAAATTCTGTGATAATTTACTTATCGAAGGCCTGATCCAAATCTTCACAATTGCAACAGCAAGCTAAAATATGATTTCGTTCCTGATTCAAATCATAATACTCGCAACAGCACAAAACCCCATTTACATCACTCATTTGATAATTGTTCCCACTTTCATTTCAACTTCTGAGCTGTTTTCTCCTTTTGAAATATTATCTGAAGTAATTCAATACACAACTTTCTTTGACAACATAACCAAAATCTGTGAATCCAAAAAAACACCGACACCGATAGCTTGTTCTGTTTCTCATATTTGACATTGTTGCCAGATACTGCTGGTTGTGTGGTTAAGCATGATCGTACAAAAACACAGAAGGCCACATATTTTATTTATTTGTTTCTCGAAATTTTGAGTTTAAAAATGTAATTTTGAGATCAAAGTCGTAATATTGAAATGACTTCGACTAGACCAGTATGAAATTATTCAGTATAAATTACTCAAAGAAATTATTGAATGCATACTATTCATGGATAACAGTACCCGCTACCTTCATGTATTAGACTTACGTGACTGCGACACTATAATTCGCATTTCAAAGCTATTCAATTTGCTGCTTTTTTTGCTCTCAAGACTTTTATTGACCACTAGAGAAAAACACATGATCCGGAAAAAATTTGTCTGGGTATAAAAAGTAATTAAAAAGTATCAACGTTCAATCAAAACGTAAAAAAGGTTCGTTCAACCGACATTTATGGTTTTTTCGACATTTCCCTCTTTGTTGCCAATTAATAATTTTCAACCATTTTTGTTCGGAAGTGATATTATAAACGCCTTCCTGAATATATCGGATCTTCGGGGAAACGGCCCGACCAGCTTACCCTTCGTAATAATAATAATGATCATATCTGATTGTCGGACCCAATGATCACTTACCCCACGGCGAGGGGAGTGAGTGATCAAGCAGAATCTTTTCCGAATGTAAACATTGGCTTTCACTAGTATGCGTTTATCGCATCTGTGAATGGAATGCCAAAGTACGTTGGATCTCTTTATTTTACAAAGAATCAAGAGTGCCGTAGATCGAGTGTTTACGTCAAAACAGTTTACTTAAGGAAGGGTTTAAGTGATTACATCACGGTGTTTCTATCTATCTTTGTCTATATTTGTCGGCATATTTATTAAAATTGTTAACATGGTTAATGATAATCCTGAAGTTTCTCTGTTATTAGTTATGCTGCTGATTCCACTTCTAGTTGGATATTGAAAACACTTCACTATTTAATCGGGCCCTATGTAATATGCACTATTTTTTTATCAGGAATGATTTCTTCTATTACCTTCAGTTCGAACCATGACTTATGAGACACCCTATATACTATTTCTGTTTCTTATCTTTGTATATCTTCATCTAAATCACATGATAGAAGATAGAGGTCACAGTCTCAAATGTCAATATCAAAGGGTCGGTAGTGTCAAATCAAGTGTCACCTAACTGTCATCCACTGTCCTCCTACCGGCTCTGATACGTCGCGTCGTACATAAGTAAATGTCTATAGAATTGTAATTGGAAGTAATAAAATTTCGTCTCTTCTGTATATTATTGTCTGAAACTCCGCAAGTCAAATATTAAGTCATTCAATTAAAAAAACTCAACCATGCAATGCTCATTATGGAAAGTGTTCTCAAATTCTCTAAAGGTAAGATACATTTGTCTGGTTTACGTAACATAACCTGACTTCAATTTCAGTGGTCATGTTCTGAATAAATTTTATAAAACAAGTTTTTTTTATATAAAGATCTTAAAGAAAATTTCTTTTTTTAATAGAAAATTTTGAATAATATATACATTCACAAGTATATCTAAAATATATTTCAGTCAACAATAACGTGTTTAAAAAGGATATCTACGTCCCCATTTCAAAATAGATGATTCAAAATATTTTTGTTACAGCCAACCCTTAGGCAGAACAACTTGATATTAGGAAGCTTACAGAATAGGCTATATTCATCAACAGGAGATGCTGATATTGTTGTTATTGGTTCTGGACCTGGAGGTTACGTAGCTGCTATTAAAGCAGCACAATTGGGAATGAAGGTTGTTGTTCTTATAGAATATGCAGGACATTCAATATCAAATAGTTATATCCATGGAACCAAAATTACGGTTCGAAAGTATGGCAGTGCATGAGAAATATATTTTATTTTTAGACGGTCTGTATTGAGAAAAATCCTACACTAGGTGGCACTTGTCTTAATGTTGGCTGCATTCCATCCAAAGCATTGCTGAATAATTCTCATTACTATCATATGGCTCATTCAGGAGATCTTTCAAATAGAGGGGTTGAAAGTAAGTATGTCTGAGTAGTAATGAAAGTAATTTGTTCGTCACTGTGAACTGTAAGAATATAAAAAGTATACAATAGTTTGTAGAGAACAGGCTGAGTACATACCTCAAGACGTTGAAAACAAACAAATATCAAAAATGTATTGAGAACTTATCTGCTCATTAATTCAGGCGTTTTTACCAGTCACTATATCCTAATGTACTACTCAAAAATCTTACTGATGAAATGAAAAACATTGATGAAAAAATATCAAAACAATAAAGCTTAGTATTAAAAATTGATAAAAAAAAGAATGGATCACAGTGGGGCTTGTAAAATAGAAAAACTTTTTTTAACAGAAGGTACAAGTTTCATCCAAGAAATTATATCACATATCAAATGTTCAAACACTAATTAATTAGTACTATTTAGGCACAAGACAATCTCATTATGAGATCAGGTGCACTCAATTTGTAAAAAAAAAACTAATGTAATGAAATTGTATTATTATACTTATTATTATTACTTTTCAAAAAGCATTCGAATAAAGCAATAAGGGTTATCAAAGCTGAATATTATAGGAATAAAATCTTGAAAAATGAAAACAATAAAAAAATTAGAGGAAATGATGGAATAAGTGCTCAAAAGATTGAAAAAAGAAACGGAAAAATATTCAAGTCAAAAGATACAGTGTTTACCAATGCAAATGAATTGTAGGAGTAGGAGAATCTCTTGTCAAACAAATTATGATTCTAAAAACAACGAAACCAACACAAAAAGAAATCTATTACTCTTGGTATTTGTCGTCAATAACTCAATAATATAATTTATACTATATATCTTAGTTTCTTGTACATTTGATGGTATATGCCCCCTATATGTCAAAAGACCTATAACTATGTAAACATTTGAAAAAGGTAATAGAAAATGTATTTCTACTTTTGGGCTCATCTCAATTATTACAAATTTCGCTTACATTTTCGAAAAATCTTTCAAAAACAGGGCTGGCAATGATGCAATTGATGAAACTATGCCCACTATCTGAGTATTTTTTGACAATTAGAAGAAAATTACCTGATTTAATGTCGAGCTATTTATCTCATAGCATGCAGGCAGTTAAGGTTAAAAATACATGGGTGTAGAAAAAGAGTACCAGTAGAGGATGTTACTGTTCTCCATTTACATAAATAATCTATCCACGTTAAATTCTTCTGAAAAATCTATAGTTTCTCTGATGACACAGCAATATCATGCACTACAAATTCAGAGGGAAAACTGAAGCAAGAATGTAAAAATGATATAGCATCTATATTAGTTAGATTCAGTCACTGGCAAATAACTATTAATTTTGAAACATTTTTACACATCATCATTACCGTTATACTGAACATGACAATCAGGGGGTAACGATTGATATTAAAACTGCAAGTTAAATCAGATACCTAGGTATATTAACTAACATTCAAGAGAGAACAAGCATGCTATCAGTGTAATCAAAACCTTAAGGTGTATGTTATTCAAATTCAAGAAATATTTCTGGATCCAAAAGTGTATTAAGATTCAGTAGAATAATTTTCAGTTTGCTATACTTAGTTGAGGGTGGTTTCTCACCATTACACTTGGGAAAACTGGAAATAAAATCTGGGCTGAAAATTGTAGGGTTATGTAGGACAAACCAAACAATTTTTCAAAACCAGATTGTAATGATTATTCTGAGACGAACTGTAAGAAAACCAACAAGACAGCATATTGTGTTTACACCATTCAGAATAGGATCAAAAGTTCGACTTACTAGTACAAAATTATAGATAAGAAAACTGTATTATCGAAAAGATTAAAAATCTAATGGACAAACAGTTTAATGAACTGGTAAAACGTTTTTAAATGAAACCTTTATATGAAAAAAGTACATAAACACTAAAAAAGCAAGAAAAAAAATAAACTCCTCAAACCTGTAGAATATTGTCAAAGAACTCATCTAGCGGAAACTTTAGCATCAACAATTGTAAGTACAGAATAATGCTTTTTCAAGTCCAGTTGCTTATCAGAATTTTTTAACCAATAATCATACAGAATTCATTTTGCGTACAATAATGATGCACAGTGTGCAGTACCGAAAATTTAAGAACTCTTTCATGAATTTAATCTCCAGCGATTCAAATCCAACGTGAATCGCAACTTTCGCACAGGCACCGCTCTTAGAGCGCCTTACGGATTTTCCTGTAGTGCTTGTGTTTTGTCCTTAAAAAAACTACAATAGGAATTACACCACATTTATCAAAATTTCTGCTGGTATATCGATGTAAAGAAAGAATCTTTGAAAAAAAGTTTTTCTACTAGTAAGTAGGCTTGAAATTAAAATATTCACAATGTAATTTTTTTCTGGTTTTCCAGCTTCGGATGTACGATTGAATTTAGATAAGTTAATGGAACAAAAGACAAAAGCTGTAAGTGCATTAACAGGTGGCATCGTCCAGCTTTTCAAAAAGAATAAAATCACGCTAATTAAAGGTCACGGCAAAATTACCGGAGTCAATCAAGTGACGGCTACCAAAGAAGACGGTTCCACAGAAACTGTCAATACAAAAAACATTCTTATTGCAACAGGTTCTGAAGTGACTCCATTTCCTGGTATTGAGGTAAGTTAAACCAAATAGTATAAGTGACTTTTTGAAAATATAACCTTTAAGGTGGATGAAGAAACTGTTGTATCTTCGACAGGAGCTCTGAAACTTCCCTCTGTTCCCAAAAGACTTATTGTTATTGGTGCTGGTGTAATTGGTGTGGAATTGGTGAGTTGTATTCAAATTATCATTTGTTTATAACTGGTTCAAGAATGTGATCAAAAACCTGTTGGATATAAACAGTCATAGTAATATTCAAGATGTTTCAAGGTTACCTGATCAAAAACCCTTTTTGAAATGAATAGTTATAACAATATAGGAAATTCCAAGGGTACATAAGGACCTACAGAACTTTTACAAAAATTCACTTCTGTTGCCAGAAGTGAATTTTTGTAATTTTTGTAATTTTTTTTCACTTTTAAATCGATAACTTCACCTTTTACTATCCTGATAACACTTCAGAGAAGTAAAGTTGAAAGACGGTATTAATTGGTATATCTGCAATTTGACAATTCTACAGACTTTGAATGTATAATTTTTTCCTACTTTTTATATCTTGAATTTGTATCTTCATAATAAATGGTATCAAACCCGATGAAACTATGTTTTTAAAACATCGCCTTTGCCCTGAATCATCTTCGTTTTACTGTAACCTTTTTAATAAATAAAAAAGTATGTGCTGGAAAAATGTTTCAAATGGATTTTTTTATTGGAAAGGGTTCTGTTTGGTCCCGCCTTGGTTCAGAAGTTACAGCAATAGAGTTTATGCCTACAATTGGTGGAGTTGGAATCGATGGTGAAGTAGCGAAAACTTTCCAAAAAATACTCACGAAACAAGGTCTCAATTTTAAATTGGGAACTAAAGTAACAGGAGCTAAGAAGGAAGGAGGCGTCATCAAAGTTAACATTGAAGATGTAAAAGATTCCAACAAGCAAGAAGTGGTGGGTATTCTTATTTGAGAAGTTATGTTTTTTTTTTGTGTTATTCAAATACTTATTTTTTTGTATACGTTATCCAGAGTTATTATTATTGATTGATGATTGAGACCACAATTATTGGCTGTTGAACATTATGAACAGAATGTAGTCATAAATATTCTTGATAAATATTTTCAACAATCCATAAATATGCATAATGCTACAAATGGACAAATAAGGCCAAGTCTGTTAACATAACAAAACTTGCTTCAATATTCGAGAAGACATAAAAAAGAATTAGTGAATCATCCATATGAGGGGGTTTATAAGAATTGCAAAATTAATCAGTAACAATTCTTTTGCGAAATCAGAACATTTTGGTTTGTTCAATGTTAGGTTTAATGAGGTTATATTGCATCAACTTGTCACTGAATTTCAGTTTTTTAAATTCAAATAATTTTTAAGTGAATTATCTCAGAATTGGTTATAGTATTGATGGTCTTCAATAGCAGATACAACTAGAACAGACAAAAAATTGCATTTGTGAAAAGACTCAGGAAAATACTTTTTTTCCTTCTAGTTTTCCTGCTATATATAATGATAGATGTAAACTCTTTAGGAAATTGGGTTGGTCATCCAGATACAAACCTGAGGAAAGAGCTCAATCAAAACAACTACTTTTCTGATATCTACATTATTAAATACAGAATAAAGAAAATAACTTTTGTCTAATTTCTACTAAGTTTATTATTTGTTAAGACCGGTTTCGGTTTATTAGACCATTTTCGGAAATGATCTTTTAAACTTAGTAGAAAACAGACAGTTATTTTCTATATTCATTATGAATTTCTACAAAATAAATAGATCGTCAATCAAACATATTATTAAATTAAATTGAAACATATTACACAGACATAATAAATAAATATGCATATAAAAATTCCCGGCTTCAAACTATATGATATTACATTGTTTTTTGTATTTACAGTTGGAATGCGACGTATTGCTAGTTTGTGTAGGTAGAAGGCCATACACAGTTGGATTAGGTTTAGAGGAAATTGGTATTGAGAAAGATCAAAAGGGCAGGATACCTGTGAATTCTGTATTCCAAACAGTAATTCCCAATATCTATGCTATTGGGGATTGCATTCATGGACCAATGCTCGCACATAAGGCTGAAGATGAAGGTTAGTTTCTTTTTATTGCAGAATTTTATTCTATCCATCACGTTTTCCACATTGTGGAACAGAGGACTGGTTGTACATGAACATTTCCACAATTTAATTTTGAATGTGAATGAATCGGTGAACCAAAAATTTTATTAGGAAAAGATTAAAGTGAGTCGTCCTATTTGAAGTGTGGCCAGGCAGTAAGATGTAATAACAAAAAAAAAGTTCAATTATGGATTCACTGGAAGTGAAACTTGTAAAGTATGCGGCTCGTAATGCCGCTTTCTGCTTTTCTGAAAGTTGGAAGTTATTTTGTAATGACACGTAATACCAAAGTGCTAATATATGTTAGATCACTATTATTATTTTCACTAACTTCAGAACATTTATGGAAGGAAATTAATGGTGTAAAGTTATGAAAATGTGATATTCCAATAAGCAACTGCTGATAGGTGCCTTATATTACTCTCCAAATGCAAGCCATTCTATATTCATTAATGATCTAGAAGATTTTTGTAATGATGTGTTTGTTAACAATATCAAATGTATAATAGCGGAGGACTTCAATATTAATTATTTCTCTAATAATGATTACTACAGTGCAAGAATATAAAATATGCTCAACATGTTAGAGATGTCACAAAATGTTACCAAATTTAGTTGATGTACCTTAAATAGTAGTACTGTTGTAGACTATGTTCTAAGTAATTTTGAAATATTTACAGAAGTTCATAATACCCCTAAGATAACAGATCATTCATTAATTTCAGTAAATAGTAACTCACAGAGTAACCATAAAATTGAGGTAGTTAAACCATTTAGAAATCTTGGTCCAACCAACAGGGATAAAATTAACTTAGAATTAATCTCTTGTAATTTTTTGTTAGATAGTATAAACATCAATATTTCAAATGTGAATTGATCATGGACACTATTGCGCCAAGTAGATCACTAACTATAACGTCAAATAGTGGTCCTTGGTACGATACTGAAATGAAAATCAAAAGATTTGTTCGTGACCGGGCATATTTGTTATTTAAACGCAATAGAACAGAACAAAATTGGCATCACTTTAGAAACATCCGTATTCGGTTTTTCGAAAACATCATTCATATGAATCATCATTGCAGCTAGCTATTACTAAATAGAAAGAAAGTATTGATAAAGGTGATTTCATTATTGCAGTATTATTAGATTTGAAACGAGCTTTTGAGCCGATCGATCCTGAAATTCTGATAAGAAAACTAGAAGCTGCTGGTATTCAAGGAGCTGTACTTGAGTGCTTCAAAGATTATCTCAGAAATCGTAAACAAATAACAAATCAACCAAAGCTTTTGTCAACCTGTTGAAAATTCATTTGGCGTTCCTCAAGGTAGTGTCATGGGACCATTATTGTTCTTGTTGTATGTAAACGACATGCATCTTTTCCATTCCTGTGACTTTAGTAACCTGTTTGGTGATGATACAATTTTATCTATTTAAAGTTGTAATTTGGATAGTGCTATCAACAAAATAAATAACTCACTAGCAATAATTCATTCCTATCTAAATAACAATAAACTCGATATAAATAAAACCAAATCAATGGTATTATCTACACCACATAAGATAAAATATGTTAATATGTACCTATTATATACTTTCAAAAAATTGTGAAAAAGTCACATTTGTAAATGAGATCAAGTATTTGTTTTTCGTGCTAGATAACATTCTTTTGTTCAATGCTCATTTTAATTATTTTTACAGAAAAATTTCGAAAAAGATATATTTCTTTACTAACATCTCATCTGAGCTATCTTTATATTCTAGATTAACAGTTTATAATGCAATTATTCAACCTCAATTTGCTTTCTGTGGAAGTATATTATATTCCTTTGATGCTAACAAAATTTCAAGTCTACAGAAATTGCAGAATCGAGGAATGCATATAATCTTAAGGTGTAACCGATATACAAATATTATTTTCATGTTGGACTCATTAAAATGGTTATCTGTATCACAGAGATTATACTTGACATCTATGATTTTCATTTTGAAGTCGTGAATAAGTTAATGCCAGAATACTTTAACGATTTCATTGTCTTCAAATCTCAAATTCATAATCATCAAACAAGAGGAAATTCAGGACAACTTCACTTACCAAAATACAATCTTACAAAGTCAATGAAATCATTATTTTTTGAAGGTTTGAAAGAATACAATGAACTACCCAATCACATAAAAGATGTGAAAACAATGAATTTAAAACTAGTCTTATTATGCATATAAGATCTAATCACTAATATTTTATCCAATATTATATTATCATTATATATCGATTTATGTTTACAGACCTATGTATGTATACATTAGTAATATCATCTTTCGTTATTGATTTTTTCTTTTTTCAATTGTATATATATTAGGATAAGTTTCCTATTCAATAAAGATTAATTCATTCATTCAGTAGTAAACACTCCGCTGCTCATGTGACTTTTCAAGGATTCATCTTTTAACTAATTTCCAAAATAATAAGATGATTGTTTTTCTAATTGTGTTATATTGATTTGTAGTTGTTTAAATATTTGAGTTGTCGATTGTGACTAGTTGTATCAGAGGGATGTGACACGACAACAAAAAGACTTACTTGTATTGAGTATATTTTCTAACCTTTTATTTCCATTCAGAATACCAGAAGTTTCTTGTTTTATAGTTCTGTTAGTGTTTTAAGGACAGCAGTTCATTCGTGATTCAGCTTAGCACCAATACATAAATATTGGTCAAAGTTTGATTTATTATAAAGGTATCAAGTTTTACAATGAGCTACCAAATGCTTTAAAAAAAAATTATGAACTAAAAATTCCAGATTAGTTTGAAAAAATATTTATTGCTTGTATAGATATATTTTCTGATGAGTGCATTTATGTTCATGTTGATAATCACATTCGAACATATATGTATGTATATATGTGTATATTTTTTTTTCAAGTTTCAGTTCTGAATTATCTTTTTTTGTGCTCTGTTCGTACTTAGTTATGTGATAGTTAGTTTTTGAATTATTGTTTTTTCCCTGCTATAAACATTGTATGTTTATAGCATATTATTAAAGAAAAATGCGGCAATATATATTCAAATTAACCATTTGCGGAGGTCTCACAAAACATTCTAGAAGTGTTGCTTTGCTGTGCCATTGCTTTCAGCATATTCATGATGTAGCTCTCATTAATTACTAACTTTCATATTTCAGGCATTGTATGTGTAGAAGGCATAATGGGTGGGCCGGTACATATTGATTACAACTGTGTGCCGTCAGTAATTTACACCCACCCTGAGGTTGGCTGGGTAGGAAGGAGTGAAGAGGACCTCAAGAGGGAGGGAATAAATTATAAAGTTGGTAAATTTCCCTTCGCTGCAAATTCAAGAGCCAAAACCAATAACGATACTGACGGATTCGTCAAAGTGCTTTCGGACCAAGCAACTGATCGAATTTTGGGAACCCATATCATCGGCCCAACTGCTGGAGAACTCATCAACGAAGCTGTGTTAGCCCAAGAGTATGGTGCTTCTAGCGAAGACGTTGCTAGAGTCTGCCATGCTCATCCTACTTGTTCTGAAGCATTGAGAGAAGCCAATTTGGCTGCATATTTCGGAAAACCTATAAATTTCTAAGCAATAATTATACTTTTTATGCTTTTGTGTACATACCAATTTAAGTTAATATTATTCTTTTCAAAAATCAATACTTTTTTCTTTGTAAACGGATGTATAATATATGTTATTTATTTGTAGCATTTCAATTTCGTTGTCCTCATCAACTTATATGTATATAATGATATCATTTATGTTTCATTGGTAATCTTTTTGACGAAGTAGACTGCGGGTTGGAACTGAAAATGAAATATTTTGATGAAACAAAGCAGAATTAACTACACTTAAAAGATAGTTGAAACTTGCAAAATTAAAGCAGCACTTTTATAGTTGATTTTTCAACGGATTAATTAACATTTTCTTTTAAACCACAACAATTTTAAAAATCCTATGTTTCATTGGTACTAATTTATTCAACCCAAACGATCGAATCACATGGTACTATATATTTGGATATACCTCTCATATCTATTGACAGGCATTATGCTAACCAAGTTAGCATCATCAGGAGGTGACTAAGTAGTCACCTCCTGATGAAGAACCTTCATTTGTTTCATTAATACCTTTGATTTTGTTTAATTGGTCAATTTTGTGTATATATACCAAAATTATTTCATAACTTTGAGTTGAATTTTTTTGTAAGTTGATTTGACTTATTCAAATTACTTTTTTGTAAAGAGATATTTCAGTGTCTCATTGAAATGTGTTGCTGTATCTTTTATTACTAATAAATAGCATTTTTATGGGGTAAGAGATGTCTGCCTGGACGTGATGAAATTGTACCATACTGAACAATACCAGAACGTAAATCTGATAATACTAGAAGTGAAAAAAAATGAATCATTAAGAGAAGTGCCACAAGGATCAATATTGCGGACATTTCTGTTTCTGATTTATATTAACAACTTGTCATACTACAAAGGAGCTACATTGTATGCAGATGATGCACATAAGTAAAAAAAAAATATGAAATGGGTAATCCTTGAGTGATCCACACAAGCATATTCGAGAAATATCAATCATGATTGACACAATATAACAAAAAACAGAAACACTTTTCAAATAAATTACTCTAATCAAGATTACATAACGTCTACTACATTTCTAAGAGTACAGATATATTCCAACTTGAAATAATATGTGCACTAAACTAAATAAGTCAGGTTTCACTACGAGAAAAATTTAAAAATGAATCAAAGTACAGTGCAACATTTTCACTTTTTACTTAATTTTTGAAAAATAATTCGACATAATTAACTGGAGCCATGCATCAAAAGTACATCTTGATAGACTATTTTTAATACACAAATCTGAAGTCAGAAGATAAATCTGTTAGTTTTTTCATTAAGCAGCTGTTACCCCCTAAAGAACAACAACCCTCTCAGATGTCAAAACTTATGTGAGCTAAGGATGAACGAGTTCTTAACTTGAAGGTGGTGAACTAAGAATGTGAAGGTTCACGACCGGAGATAACTGTGTGAGAGCTATTTTTCGGGTTCTTTGGCCATGGTCTGCATGTTTTATGTCTGACGTTTCGTCTACCACTGCGGTTGACATTATCAAAGGCGATGTGGCAACGTCAATTTTCTATATCCCGGCAATACTTTTCACTCCCGTTTATCAACCACCAAGAGATGCATAATATAGGACACTATTCTCTTCACTTGCAAACACCATTGACTTTCTGCAAATCAATCATCCCATTGCCGAAATTTCCATATTCGGTGACTTCAATGTCCACAATACCTGATGGATCAAGTTTTCAAATATCAACGACGAACAAGATCGCGAAGCTGAGGCTTTTGCAATAAGCAGTGGACTTACTCAGATTATAAATAAGCCAACCAAGATTCCTGACCGTGATGGGAAAAATGCTAGTATTTTGGATTTATACCTAACAAGCAATCCAGATATTTTCACAGTCACCGTAGGTCTCCATTACACAAACTTTTTTCAGTGTTGAGTTGGGAACAATCTAAGTCGTGCAAAGATTGGCATTACAGATCTGCTGAGTGGGAGAATCTTCAAGAGTATTTCCGTAGTTTTCCCTGGCTAGATGTTTGTTTCAGCCCTAATGATCCATTAACTTGTGCTTCTGAAGTCACGGAAGTTATTCTATCATCCATGGATGCATATATTCCTTTTTCAATGAAACAAACTTCTAACGGCAAACCTTGGTTCAACTAAAATTACGAGCAAACTTTCTTTCACCTCTAAAAATCTCTCCTACCGGCAGTGGCGCAAAAATCCTATTGTCGAAAACCGAACTATGAATGAAAGCAAATAACTTCACAACCAACGAATTGGGAACTAACTGCTTGCTAATTCCAACGGATCTAGATCCTTCTGGTCAGTAGCTGAAACTTTACAATATCCACAATTCCACCACTAACACAAGCGGATGGTTCAATTGCAACAACAGCCATAGAAAATATGAACAAGGCGTCTGGTCCTGATGAAGTGCCCGTCATCGTACTTTAAAAGTGTGCAAATGAACTCGCACCAGTATTTTGCAGACTTCAACCTATTTTATAAGGACGGGGTTTTTCCTTGTTGATGAAAGATTGCTCGCGTCCAGCCTATTTCCAAAAAGAGCAAGAAAATCTTCCAAATAAATATAGACCAATCGCTTTGCTATCTGTGATATCAAAATTCATGGAGAAAGCCTTAAACCACCATATCCTTAAATATTTGGAAGGCTTCAACATCTTGAGCGATCAGCATATGGCTTTCGGAAACAAAGATCAACAGGCGACTTCTATCTTATGTCACCCATATTTGGAATAGCAATCGAGAAACATGGAGAGTCAAGAGCTGTTGTGCTTGATATTTCTAAGGCCTTTGGTTGTGTGTGGCATGAGAGTTTGCTGGCCAAACTTCGATGCTATGGCTTCCATATGGTTCTATGGTCATTCCATTCGGATTCCAGGACATCGACTGCGGATGCACATCTTCACCGGCAGCAGGAGGTTGCATGTCTTAATGAGGATCTAGAAGTGATTTCGAATTGGGGCGAAACCAACCAGGTTCAATTCAATGCAACGGAAACCCAGGCATCGGTTTTCTCCAAAAAGATTAATGTTTCCAAACCGGGTATAATAATGTCAGGACAATTTCGCTTTCTGCTTTGGTAAGTTTGTTGTTTGTTTTTTGTACCTTGGGAGCTGTCTGACTTGTCCATTTAGTCCAAGTCTCCAGGAAACACTGCAGCCTCTTGGGCTTATTGCGTTTGTTCTCCCATCTTCTCATGACACCCATTCCATCAGTCTCGTTCCCTGTACTAGTTTGTACAGGTTCCGTGTTGGATGTTCGTCATATTCTTCTGGACGTAATTTCATACGTCCATATATTGCCTGCCTGCTGTGATTCAGTGCCTCACATTCGCATAAGATGTGTAGAGCCGTTTCTATCCCTTCGTTGCATAATCTGCAGCTGAGGTCTCCGTTGTACAGCCCCATTTTATTCAGGTGTTCTCTGGGGGCTAAAATGGACACCAGTATGTCTTGGCACAATCACGTCGATGGAATTGCAAAGGTTTCTTCTCAAAAGCTTGGAACATTGTTCCGAACCAGAAAACTCCTCAACAACTTTTGATGCTTTATATAGCTCGCTCTAGTCTGGAACACCAAAGAAAGGTTGGGATTTGTCTCTCTTCTATGGATACTTTCACGAGAATTGTTCAAGTGACTTCGCACATTTCATTCAACCAAGAGCGGTACATATCAGAAATACGCGACGGACTGTGGCTGCTCATCGTTTCGAGGTTCAACCCAGTACACCTCGAACTCCACTGTTTAAGAACTTTCATTTGGAGAACTACGTTTATGTGGAATAGACTTCCTGAAAACGTTTTTCCAAATGAATTTAATCTCCAGCGATTCAAATCCAATGTGAATCGGTACTTTCACACAGGCACCGCTCTTAAAACGCCTTGAGGATTTTCCTGTAGTGCTTGTGTTTTGTTCTTAAAAAAAAATCCGAGTTGGTGCTCTAGTTGTCCTCGTTCCGAACGCTTGGGCGTGGCTTGGTTTCTCCCAATTGGATTACCTGGCCTTGTTTATGTACCTGTAAAGACGGGTAACTAAATTTCATTAAAATTAATCGCCTCTTCTTCTCTATTGAAAGTATTCCTGTGTTTTTGAATATATACTCTTGGATAGTAATTTTGAGTTTTATCGAGTATTACTGTGTCTTCAAATGAGATACTATGAGTGCCTTCTTTGTTGAGAACAGATGATTTGTCCGTTGTGTCAAGAGAGGCAGGTACCTACCCACACTTCTTTTCGTGGTACCAATGTATATCGACCTGCAGCTACAAGGAATACGGTATATCCGAGTTTTGCTAAAGGTTCTCTGAGGTTCTTAGCTGACTTTGAACTCAGTCTGATAGTTTTTGTTGACCTAAATATTGGTTTCACGTCCTGTTTCTCTAAGATTCTCCCAATCCGGCCTTCAACATGTTTAACAAAGGAAAGGAACGCTTTTCCCTTGACCAATTTAGCTGGGGTTACTTTGGCATAGGCCAACAATAACTATCAGATAAAATCTAACGACAGCTAAGGACCTCAGAGAACCTTTAGCAACACCCGGGGTAAACCGGATTACTTTTGTAGCTACGGGGCTGTCTAAATTGATACCACGAAAAGAAGTGTGGGAACCCAACTCTCTGAACACAAAAAAAATTAATATTACTGGAGTTTTTTCCCAAAAGCAAACCGTTATTTTAACACCTCGACACTCAAATTAATTTAAGACGCAGGTACCTAGAAGAGGTATCTATGGTATAAATAAGGATAACATTGTAAGTATATTTAGTTTAATCTTCCTCTTGAAGACGATCACTTGGTGATGGGAACACGTGTCGAGGTGTTAAAATAACGGTTTTGTGTTGGAAAAAAACTCCAGTAATATTTATTACTACACCAAAGATTCCAAACAGCGCATCACAAATACACAAGATAAATTGTCGACTCGGACAAACCGATAAATCAGGTTTAGCTGAACATCCTTTCAACAACGGTAGTCACATTATCTCCTGAGATACAGTGATACTCGATAAAACTCAAAATTACTATCCACGAATATATACAGTGTGTCTCACTTCTCATGGAAACACCCCCGAATCTTCCGTAATATTCGAGGTAGAACGATGAAACTCTCCGGACTGTTGGAAATGCTCAAAGTGCACCTACCACCTGAATGGGGTTGGCCAAAGTTATAAACGCTGTCCGCCACTCGCGATGGAACATCCCATTTTACGATAAAACATATTAGGGGGCAAAATAGGCTTGAAATTCCTTCAGATTCATGATCAGCACTACCAACTTACTACGAATACACTTTTTTTCCTGAAAAAATTTAAGTCCTGAAAAATCCGAATTTGTCTCACTTCTTATGGAAACACCCCCGTATCTTCCGTAATATTCGAGGTGGAACGATGAAACTCTCAGGACTGATGGAAATGCTCAAGATGCACCTACCACCTGAATGGGGTTGGCCAAAGTGATATACATTGTCCGTCACTCGCGATGGAACACCCCATTTTTACGGTAAAACATATTAGGGGGCAAAATAGGCTCAAAATTCCTTCTGATTCGTGATCAGGACTACCAACTTACTATGAATACACTTTTTTCCTGCAACAATTTCAGTCCTGAAAAATCCGGTTTTGTCTCACTTCTTATGGAAACACCCCCGTATCTTCCGT